GCGCTGCGCCCTGCCGCTGCCCCCGGCCCCGCCACTGAGCCCCGGGGGAAGCGGGCGGGGAGCGGCCCCGGCAGCGGGGACCCCTTCCCCCTGCCTGGGCAAGCCGGGGTGACACGGCGGGACGGCGCTGCGTCAGCAGCAAAGGGTTCCCCGACTCGGGCTGTCGGTGCTCCCAGGTGGCCGAGGAGTGGGCAGGGTGCTGGGGAGCTGGGCACGACGTAGCACTAAGTTGCTTTCGGGAGGCAGTGGGGTGGCCGGGGCGCTAGAGAGGGCAAGCAGCCTGCCCTTGCTGTCCCACACCCAGCACTACCAGGCTGTGCCTGTGGAGCCCTGACTTTGCCTTCTCCCCCTGCAGTGACCCCGTGGGACAGCTCACGTCATGGTCGACTACTACGAAGCGCTGGGGGTGAGCCGCAACGCCACCGCTGAGGACATCAAGAAGGCGTAAGTGTATGGCAGCGTGCCTCTGCCTGAAGGCAGAGTCCCCCAAGCCACCTCCACCTGGTGCCAGCGAGGCAGAGGCTCGCTTCGGGGCCTGTGGGGACAGGGCCCAGCTCCAGAGGTGACAATTCAGCCTTTGTTTCCATTGTATGGATGCCAGAGCGGGGTTGGGCTTTGCTGCCATACAAAGGCATCTTTTGGTGGGGTTTGGTTCCTTTCTTCCTGCAGTCGGCCTGGGGCTGGAGGCAAGTCTTGGTGGTGTTTGGAGGCTCCCCTCTCTCTGTGCTGGAAGGTGCAGGGATGGCACATGGTTGGGGCACAGGCACTCTGCTGGCATCAAAGTCAGGGGGCTGGAGGTCACAGAGTGAAGAGCAGCATGTCCTGTATTAGGGATGTGGGCCCTGTGGGCAGGTGGGTGCTGTGCCCCGGTACTGCTGGGAAGCTGACAGAGCCTCCTGAGTCTCTGCAATTCCTGCCTGGTGCCCTGCCCATGTGCTGCTGCTGTCACTGGGGTGAGGCATTGCCTGAGGGGAATGCCAGCAGATTGCTGTCTTGCCAACAGGTGGCAGAGGTCCCTGTGAGGGGCTTCCCAAGAGGGAGTGGGAGAAGCTGAGAAGCATGGGTTAACCTTAGCTAGCTGCAGTGGGGAAGAGGAGGCTGCTGGTGCTGTCCTGGCCCCAGGGGCCCCTAGGAACCCCTGGTACATTCACACTCACAGTGGAGCCCATGAAGGCTCCAGAACAAACCCGTGAGCATTGTCCAGAGCCATTGATGAGGGCAGCTGAGGTGGGCACACATTGCACTGCTGTGGTTGTGCTGCAGTTCTGGAGTAATTTCTGTTTTGTTTGTTTAGTCTGTGTGTATGCATAAATATGTATATATCTGTATATATGTGTGTGTTTATATATTTATTTATGAAAACACATACTCTTGGACGGAAGAACTAGTCCAGGAGATCCAGTTCAGTGCCTGAGGCTGTAGGGTGCTGGGTGAAGCGGGCTTGGGGTGCCCCTGCCCACAGGCTGGGAGGTGCATGCTCAGGTGGGGGTTGCTGACCCAAGGGCTGCTGTGTGCCCATCACTGCTCCTCTGTGCAGGTACAGGAAGGCTGCGCTGAAATGGCACCCGGATAAGAACCCAGACAACAAGGAGTATGCTGAGCAGAGGTTCAAGGAGATTGCTGAGGCGTACGAAGTGCTGTCGGACAGTAAGAGGCCACAGTGATGTCTTGTGTGTGTGTGTGCGTGTTCACACTGGGATGTCCTGCTTCTGGGCTCACCCAGGTTGCATCCCTGGCTGTCCCCAGGAGGCAGTGGGTCCCTGCAGCTTTACCACACAGCTTTTGGGGCTTGGTTACTTCCTCATGTCTCCCAAAACAGCCCTTGGGAGAGATGCTGAGCTGTTGACATCCACAATGGGCTCTCCCCAGTGGGCCTGAAGCTTTTGCATTCTTGCCCAGTGGTCTTACTTGTGTTTGGGTTCAGTGCTGGGGTGGCAGTGTTTTGTGCCAACCACCTCCTCTTGCTCCCTGCTGTTCTGCACCTCCCTTAGTGCAGGGAGAAGTGTCAGTGCTCCTGTCCCCACCTGGCAGCCTCTTTTCTTCTTCCAGAGCAGAAGCGTGACATCTACGACCGCTATGGCAAGGAGGGACTCATGGGAGCAGGTGAGTAGGGCTGTGGGGGTTAGTGCAGCTCTGGATACATCCTTGTCTGAAGACCCAGGGTGGGTCAGTGCCACCAGGGCTCCCCACCCTCCAGGGGAGATGTCATCCAGGGCTCCATTTGACATTGAGTGTCTTCCCTCCAGCAGGACCAGGTGGCTCCAGAGCCAGTGCCGGGGCCCCCGAATTCACCTTCACCTTCCGCAGCGCTCACGACGTCTTCCGGGAGTTCTTTGGCGGACGAGACCCCTTTGCTGAATTCTTTGGTGCGTGTGGGGCAGGGAAGGCTGGCTGTTGGGCATCTCTGTCTGTGGGGCAGCTACTGAGCTTGGGGATAGAGCTCACGGCTGGCCCTGGCAGAGGGTCCCCACATCTGTGCCCTGTTTCTGATTCACCAAGCTGATGGGGTAATGATGATGGGGGGCCCTGCCTTTCAGATGACATGATGCCCTTCTCTGAGCTGCGAGGACCTGGCCCCCGGCACCATGGGGGAGGACACTTCTTTTCCCCCTTCCCAGGATCCTCAGGTAGGAGATGCTGCCATTCCTCCCAGCAGGGGAGTCCTAGAACACCATGTTCCCCTGTGCAGAGTCTGTCTCCTGCCCTCTTGCCACCCATCCTGGCACTAACTTTGTTGCTCCCTTCTCTAGATTTCTTCGCCTCATCCTTCAGCTCTGGTGCAGACGCAGGACTGGGCTTCCGCTCTGTTTCCACCTCCACCACCTTTGTTAACGGCAGACGCATCACCACCAAGAGGTGAGGGCACCGCCAGCCCACCTTGCTCCCACAGGCTTCCTTCCATCAGCAGGCCTCCGACCCTGCAACTTCCTGCTGTGGGGCACTGGCTGCATGACCCTTGACCGTCCATCTGTTTGTTTGTCTGTCTGCAGGATTGTTGAGAATGGGCGGGAATGGGTGGAAGTGGAGGAGGATGGGGAGCTGAAGTCGATTCACATCAATGGTGAGAAGGGGCACTAGAGACTGAGTTGTTGAGCTCTGTGTCCTTTCCCTTTGGGGTGTCTGGGAGGTGCTGCATCCAGACTTTGTTTTGGACCAGGGTTGGCCCTGGTTTGGAGCTCTGTTCTGCTCTGAAGGATTGGTGGGGTGGGCTGGAGGTGCCAGGGCCCCACACCAGCTTTGGGGAACTGGAGTGGACACCTGCCCCTGTCCCCACAGGTGTTCCTGATGACATGGCGCTGGGGCTGGAGCTGAGCCGGCGGGAGCAGCAAGCCTTCCCCAGGCCACGGCCCCCCTCACCGCCAGCACCGGCCCCACACCAGACCTCGAGCTCCTCACCTGTCTGCCTCTACACGGATAGTGAGGATGAGGATGAGGACTTGCAGCTGGCCATGGCCTACAGCCTCTCTGAGATGGAAGCTGCAGGGCACCACCAAGCAGGTGGGCACAGCCCCGGCTCCCTGTCGGCAGCGGGGGGCAGCCACAGCAGCCCGTCCTCCACCCGCAGAGCCCGTGGTGCCCGGGGGAGGCTGGAGCAGGAGCCGCTGGGGGCCAGCAGTTCTGCTGCAGAGGGGCACGAACCTGCCCCCAAAGTGAAGCTGTGGCACTGCCCCCTTCTCTGAGCGTGGGGCAGGGAGAGGAAAGCAGGGCTGGAGTCTCACTGCTTGGAACTCAGCTCCTGCCTCCCCTAGCAAGGGAGGGGGGTGTCTTTTGCCCTGCCTCCTTGCTCAGGTGAGCGGATGGCTAGTGGCATCCCAGCGCTGGAGGCTCCCAGACTTGGAGGTAGTGGCTTGAAGAGGAGCCCCCTTGATGGGGTCCCAGGAAGAGAGGCAGCTCCCTGCCCTAGCTACTGGAAGCGTAGGGGGCCCGTGGGCAGACATGCTCTGGCTGTGCCTGCCCCTCTCTCCCTGCCAGCCCTGCAGGTGGCAGGGTCTCCAGCAGGTGCCTCCCTGGCTGCAGCCTGTCCTTGCCCAGGCTGCAGGGAGTGCTGAGTTGAACTCCCCTCCTTGCAAGGAGGGCTGTGCACATAGCCTCTGCTTGGTGCCTTGTGTCTTGTCTCTTCCCTCTGGATGCTGTTGCTCCTGCCTGTACTCCCTCCTCCTCTGTCTCCTTGCGGACTCTGCCTGGTCACTCCCTTCCGTATGCCTTGCACACCCTCCAGGGCACTGTCCCTCCTTGCTTCCCACAGCAGCAGTGACCCTCCGTGATGTTCACAAGTGTTCCTACCCTCTTCATTGCCCGTAGTTCTGCCTTGGCTGTCTTCCTCCTCTGCCTGGGACCTTCCTCCCTCCATCCCTGCCTCTCCCCAGCCCTTGGCCGAGGAGGATTTCACAGGTGCTGTTGTGTACCCCCCTCCGCTTGTCTCCCCAGGTGTGTTCTGAGGCTGCTGCGCCCGGGGACCGCGCACGCCCACTCGCCCACGAAGGTTCTCCCAGCCAGGACTCCGCTTTCTCCCTGCACGGCCACCCCCTGCCACCCCCTTCCCCAGCACCCTCTGGCTCCGTGGGATGCGGTGAGGGGGGGCATGACAGGGCTTGTGGCTGAGCAATACCTGGGGCTGGGGGGAGAGGCCCTGGGCACCACAGGGTGGTGGAGAGGGTGGTGATGGGGGTTGCTGTAGATTAGGCTGCTGGCTGTATGCAGCGAGGGGCAGCATGGCTGGGCTCAGCCAGCAGGGCTGGGCTCTGCCCCCCTCCTCGCTGTAGCCCCCCCTCTCTACCTCCCTTCTGCTAACAGCTGTCAATAAACCTGTTTGCAGTAGCTTCTGCCTGTGGGGACTTTCTGGCTGGGGATGCAGGGTTCTCATCTTTGCCTGCAGGTGAGCCCTACTTGTCTGGCAGTTGCAGAGTGCAGGGATAGAGATGGACAGATGCCACATTTCCCCCCTGTGCCATCCCAATACACACAGTCGGAGGCCAGGCCTGGCTGCAGCTGCACAAACGTGACACAATAACTTTATTCACATCAAGATACAAAATTATAGTTCTCTAGAAATTTTTCTTCTGCTTGAGTGACTAGGCAGGGAGCACACAAAGGGGACCTGGAGTGGAGCTGGGCCAGACTCCCCTGCACCCCATGCTCCCCCTGACTGTGGAGGACCCCTGCCCCCACTTCTGCCCCCCACATGGGTACAGGAAGAGGGCTAACGCAGAACTGACAGGTTGGGGAGTCCCCCTGCCAGTTCCCAGCAGCACCACCTGGTGACCCCCTCCACGGGGCTTAAGGGCCACAAGCCCTGTCGCCTCTGAGGTGACAGTGGGTGTGATGGGGTTCCTGCACAGAGGGCCTGAGGTCAGTGTCCTTGGGGAGATGGGAAGGGGCGCCTGGGGGCAGGGGAAGCAGAGCCAGAAGCACAGACACCATTTTACAGGGAGAGCAGCCCCAGAGGCTGGTGAGGAGAGTGCGAAGCGCAGGGCTGGGAGCAGACAAGAGGAGGAGGGAGGGCTCCTTGCCATCACTGTGGCAGTGCCTTCAGGATGGCGTTCACTTCCTCGGCCACAGCCGTCAGTGCAAACTCAAACTGGTCCTGCAGGAGCACAGCAGGAGACATGAGAGTCCCTGCCACCTCAGCCCCAGGGGTTATGTATGCTCCTGTAGAGGGAGAGGATCCCCACTTTGGGGCGTACCTTGGTCTGCACCATACCAGGCCGCTGATCTCGGATATGCTCCAGCGTAGCAGCTATGTCTATCTCCTTCACCCCTGGGGCAGAGGGAGAGAGGGCTGCTAGGAGGGGAGCTCACAGGCCAAGCTCACAGACAGGGCAGAAATGGTGCCTCCCTGCACCTACCTTTGGCCATTCGGTTCAGGACCATGTCGACAAGGATGTACGTTCCAGTCCTGCCTGCACCGTCACTGCAAAACACAGATGCTTGGTCCAGGGGAGCTGGTTCCAATGGGACTGGTCCCGGGCAGCAGGTCCCAGCCTTCAGTCACCCTCAAGCCCAAATGCCCCTCATCCCCTGCAGTACCTGCAGTGCACGATAATAGGGCAGGAGCGACCCCGGTAGCACTTGTTCACCTTCCTGCAAGGATAAGAGAGAACAGATCAGTGCCCTGCTGTGCCAGGGTCAAGGCTGTGCTAGGTGTCCCTTGCTGTGCTCAGTGGGGCAGGGCAGCAGCACACCATGATGTGGCCCTGGGGGTCCCGCTCATGGCTCCTCCTGCCTCCACAATGGTGCTGGACATGGGATGGGGACCACGAGTGGAAAGTGGCCAGGGCAGGGAAAGGAGTTCAATTCCTCAGGTGCCCAGCCTGGGGAGGGGAGCAGTGGCAGGACCCCCAGGGAGCGGCTCTGGTCCGGTGGGGCGTGAAGCTGGGGGCCAGGCGCCGGTGGGGCTCCTGGCATGCTCCATGCAGCAGGCACGGCTGCCAACGATCACTTTTGTGACTATGCAACTGGAGCCAGATTACTAGCTGCAAATCACAAAAATGACGCCGGCAGCTGCGAGAGAGAGACAGAAACAGACAGACAGAGAGAGAGAGAGCGTGAGCGGGACTGAGAGGAGGGCGACATGCTCAGAGACCCCCCTGCTGCCCTAGGCTGGGTCCCTTGCCCCACACAACCCAGGGACAGTGAGCAGCCTGTGCCTGGCAAGAGCTCACCACCTCCAGGGACCTAAAGACCTGGGCAGGCAAGTCTCCTGGGAGCAGTCCTCAGTCCTGCCACTCTTGCCCTGGGCTAGCTGGGGATCCACCACTGGCTATAGGGCATTGGGAGCAATGGGTCACAGCCAGTTTAAAGCTGGCTCTGGGGATTCCTTCTTGTACCTATGGCTGGTGAAGGTGCCAGTCAATGCTGCCCTGCATGCCAGCTCAGGAGAAGAGCACTTTTCCCACCCTCACTGTGAAGGCTGGAGAGCCCTGGCAATGTCAGCCAGAGGTTTCTTGCCCACCAAACTCTCTTGAGCCTCATCCCAAGTTGGCCAAAACCTGTATTTTCTGCTCTCTCCCATCCACGGCAGCTCCTAGTCCCTGCACCTGGTCGATGCCATGGCCCTGACCCTCATCACCGTGGCAGCAATGTCCTCACCTCGCCCATCAGCAGCCTGCATTTGGGATCACCGCTGGCTCCCCAAGGGCTGGCACGGTGCCAGGTGGGCGCTCACCTGCGGAAGTCGAGGAGGGGCCGGGTGGTGGTGGGGATGCCCTCGGCAGGCCAGCTGAGGAAGTGGAACTGCGTCAGGGTGCGGGTCTCCTGCGACTGCACGTTTTTCAGGTAGAAGCTGCGCACCAGGAAATCCTCGCACCAGATGTGCTCTGACACCAGGTTCACCTGCCCAAGTGAGGCAGACCGTGGGCACCAGTGCCAGGCAAGTGCTGCACTGATGCTCAGCGGGACAGGGGCTGGAGGATGCTCCATGCCCCAGGCCACCTGCCACACTTGCCTCATAAATGTGGTAAAGAGAGGAGCCTTCATCTGGCCAGTAGCGGTCACACTGCTTGACACTGTCCTCGGCCAGGGGGCTCAGCATGACAATGACAGTGCAGCCATGTTCCCACACCATCTGCAGGCAAGGCAAGGGGAGTTTCACTGCTGGGGGACAGCCCAGGTGGGAGGACAGTAAAGCCCCTGTGACCCATTAATGTGGGCAGCACACAAAGGGACCCCAATGCGCTGGCACAGCTGTGTGACACTCACCTGCCAGAAGTCAGCAATAGTGTGGGACAGCGGCCCCTGCGTGGCAATGTACGCTGGCATCCGTGGGTCATGCTCAATCTGGAGCAGGAAAGGGGTATCAGACTTCACGCTCTTCGGCCAGGGTTGGTGACACTTGAAGGAGTAGGGGGATATTCCAGGGGTGATAGGAAGGTTGGGAAGGGAGATTCAGGTGCCCCAGCCAGGATGAAAATGGGATTTAACAATTGCTTGAGGAATGGGGCAGCACAAAGCTCACATCTGTAGCCCTGAGGGATGTAACTTCAGTCCAGCTCCATCCCAGAGTGAAAACCTCACCTGGGCTGGGCACATCAAGGAGCAGGGTGGCAGGGCAGGAGCCCCCAGTGATCACTCACGATTGGACTGGCATTGATGAAGTCACTGCGGGATGGGTTGCTCTCTGCTTTCAGCTTGATCCGCACGTGATCATCTGGGGGAACAGGCCAGGAGACTTGGTGAGTGGCTAGAGGAGCTGCAGGCACACTAATGCTGCAACCAGTCATGGCCCTGAGCATTCCCATGCCCCGCATCCTGCTCTAGCAGGACAGCTGGTCCCTGAGGCTGATCCCTGGGGCAGGGTGGCTGGGATGCTCACAGGGCACATAGTCAGGGTTGCGGTTCTTCTTCAGGTTGGCTTCACTCTGGGCAATGGAGCAGATGCTGGGCTCAGCTTGGTAGGCACAGAGCGCCTGCCACTCCTTGGCCAGCCGGTCCCGGTTGCGGAGGTGGTCCTCCATATAGGCCTGGGGCAGAGGGGCAGGAGTCAGCCCAGCAGCAGAGGGCCAGGTGCAGGGCTGGGGAGGGGGCTGGCAGCCCTCCCTCCAGGCTGGCTCACCAGGATCATGTGTCCGGTGGAGATGTCCATGTTGGACTGGACGGGCTCCTCGCACCAGGAGGGAGTGCTGCTGTGGGAGCTGGGGCTGGGCTGCGGGGCGTCGCTGAACTGGGACGAGACACTGCTGACCCTCGAAGTCTCCGCTGGTGCCGCCGGTGCGTCAGTGCGGCCAAAGAGAGACTTGGCGGCCATGTGCTGGCGGCACAGCTCCTGGGGAAGGCCAGCACAGCCCCGTCCCTTGGCCACCGCGCCGCCATAGGGCAGCTCCGTGCACCCCGAGCGATGCTGACACGCGGCAGCGACGCGTCCTGCGGGGTCCCACATCCCGCAGGGCCCTACCTGGTACTCGAAGGTGGTGTCAGCAGCACCCTCTGGCCCCAGGGCAGCCAGGCGCTCCTTCTCCCGCTGCTTGGCGTGGCGCCGGAGGCAGAGGGCCGCAGACACCGCGATGGCAATGACCGCCACGCAGGCCAGGGCGATGAAGGTCAGCAGCACCGAGTGGAAGCCATCCCCAAAGCGGGATGGGCGTGAGTAGGCAGCAGCCTCATTTCTCTGGGGACCAAGCCAAGCAAGGGTTAGTTAGCATGGGGCTGGGGGCAGAGACTCTATTCTGCTGTACATTTGGGGTTGCTGGGGGTTAAAACAGAGCAAGGGCTCTTCCTTCCCCTTCCTGAGGGTGCTGATTTTCCCAGCACCCTCAGCTGGGACAGAGCTGGTATCACTGGCGTGAGGCAGAGTGCACCCTCCTATCTGTCACATGGGGAACTGCTACAATGGTGTCCCTGGAGCTGGAGGAGCTTGGCCAAGCCCAGGTAGCAGTGACTTCCTGCTTCCAGCTCTCAGGGCTGCTGCCTGAGGCAAACCCAGCCTGGACTGCCCTTCTACAAGGCAGGCAGTAGCCCCTTAGAACTCTGCTTCCATGACCTCCCTCTGCCCAGCTGGAGATCAACAAGGGCTGAATTCAGCCCAAGGGGTTAATGGTGTAGGGTAGGCAACTGCAGCACCCGGTGTGCCACTCCCAGGGGACTTTCCCAGCTGAGGCTGGCTCTCCCCTGCAGCCCCTGCTCCACAGCAGAACACTGAGGGAGGCAGGGTGGGCAATATGCCAGCACTGCTGGTACCATCCCAGCTGTAGTAGCTAGGGGACAAGTCCTCCCTGTCACCCTCCTCAGTTAGGACACAGAGCAGCCCCTGCCACCTTGCAGGTAGTGTCTCTAGGGCTCCTTCCCTGTGATTGTGGGAGACACTCCAATCCATGCCAGTCCCATGCTGGCACAGGATGTTGCTCAGGCCTTGCTGGACAAGACCTTCCTGTCAATGCCTTGACTGCCTAGGTCCAGCTAGGGCAGCACAGGGATACTGGGGCATCATCAATTCAAACATCCTGTGCCCAATGAGCTGCCAGAGCCCTGCATTACCTCATTGCCACAGCCTCCCATTGGCTATGAGCCTGATGAGGTTACCGAGGGAACACTGCACCATCATCAACTACATCATCATCATCGTCATCGCCTGGGGATGTCCCCAGCCTGGGTGTCCCTGCTGCCACCTTCTCCCCAGCACCCGACTGCCACCAGGGTCCAGCCTGTCCTGCAGCCAGGGCACCCAGCAGGCCCAGCACCTCCCAGCTCCCCGGGGCACCCAAGCAGGAGCAGCCCTGCAGCCGCTGAAGGTGTCAGCAGAGCCAGGGGGGACAGAAGGGATTTCTCTCCCAAGGCCTGCCCAGGCCGTGCTGTCTCCCTGCTCCCTACATCCCTCTTCCTCAAACCTTGCACCAGTCCCACCAAGTCCAGAGCCAGGAGGGAATGAAGGAAAAGCACAAGCTGGCTGGAACTGGGAAGGTCAGTGCAGCAGGGGGCTTGCAAAGCTTCCTCTGAGCTTCATCTTTGTCATCTCTGACATCTATCCCAGTTCCTGCCACCTACCTCATCAAAAGGCATTGCCACAGACACGCTCTGCATATTACTGGTAGACACAGGTTGCCTCAGTGGCCAGGCCACCCCTACTTCATGGCCTCCTCCAAAGTTCCCCCTTCCTTCCTTCCTTCCTCCCTGCTCACAACTACAGCCACATGATAAGAAGTGAGAAATGGGGACACTGGGCTAGGGATGTGCTACACCATTTTTCCTCCTCAGGCTGCAAACACGGGAGCCAGGCTTGGTCCCTATCTCCAGCCTCTGTTCTCTTCCCCAGGAGACTGTTCCTGTGGCTCCCCAGAGGAGCATGGGGAGGGGCAACCCCTCTCCAAACATATGGTTCCTGTTCCATCCCTGCCTCCAGCTTCTTTGCCATTCTCTGGGGATATGATGGCAATTTGGCTGCCTAGCTATGGTTTGTGGGATGCTCTGGGAACATCCCAGCGCACGGGTGCCCTGGCCACAGCTGAGATGGGTGTGCAGGCTGGAGGGAGGCAAGGATGGAGAGATACAGCCTGCAGCCCCCTGGTCTTGGGGGGAAGAAAAGCCTCTGGGAATCCCTCTCAAACCACCTTCAAACACTGTGGAGCTTTTGCTTTTAAAAGAGCCAAGAGCCCTGAGCAGGATTGTGCTGCCAGGCAGTGGAGGGGGATGATGGACAGACAGGACTGGAGCAGTCTCCAACAGGAGTCCTCCAACACAGGACTGGAGTCTATCTCCAGCACAGCATCCCAAATACTGTACAGTCTCCTCTAGTCTCCAGCTGCCCCACAGACCTGTGGACAGCTCACTCACATAGGCCCTTGTACTCCAGGGCTGGGGGCTCCTGGCTTGTACCCAGTGGCAGCATCCCCACTCCCCTATCCCTGGCCACCCCAGCCCCAAGGGATGGAATCCTTGCTCACTCCTACCTCTCCCACTCCTGTTTGCACAATCTTCAGGCCCAGCTCGTGCTCCAGCTCTCCCTTCACTTGCTCTGTGGACAAGGAGAGATGGTCAGAGGCATTGCTCCCCTCCACACAAGAGCTCCCCCAGAAACAGAGCCAAGGGATAGCTCTGACAGCTGCCCACTTCAGCTCCCACTTCAGCCAAAGGCAGAGGGATGTACAGTAGGAGCCCTCTCACCTGGTCCCTGCACCCCACAACCGGGAGGCGAAGAGAGGAACAAGATCAGGGGGACTCTGCCCAACTCACCGGTCTGGCTGGCCACATCTGCCAGTGAAAAGTTCTGGGGGTTCTGCCGGATGCGGAAGGTAAGTGCAGGACCCACAACGCTGCCGGGGACAGGGGGGACACAGTGAGAGACCTGGAAATGCAGACCCCCTAGGCACCCTCGCCACAGCCCAGTCCCTCCTGTCCCTATGGCACCAGTTCCCTCACCTGATGTTGATGAAGCTGGCGGTGGAGAGGTGGAGGTGCTTGGCTAGGAGCTCCAGCAGCTGCACGCCAGCAGCCAGCCCCAGGGGCCTGTGGGGACAGTGTCAGGGTGAGGAGGGGGTGGCAAAGGCAAGGGGACAGCCCTGTGCTCCCCACAGTCAGGGAGCAGGGACAGGCAGGCTCAGGGAGTCCCAAGCACACAGCAAGAGCAGGTGTCAGGTTGGGCAGGAGGTAAGAGTGTGGCCATGTGTGGTGCTGGGGGTGAGCCGACCCCCCTTGAACACGAGTGTGCACAGAGACATTCCTGCACACACAATCCCAGCCTTCCATGCTGCAACAGTGAGCTCTGGCCTTGGTGTGGGCTGAGAAAGGAAGGCCTTGGGGTGGAACAGGGGCTGTGGGCAGGGAATGGATCAGTGGGAGTTGACCCCATAGAAACCCGACCCTACCAGAGACCCAACAGGTTCAGTCAAGCATGTGAAGCTGTGACAGCTGTTGGTGGGGAGATACAGACCCTTCACACATGCAGACCCCCTTGCATGACCCCCAGCTCTCACTTCTGGTCTGTGACGATGTAGCCATACTCGTCTAGTGGCCGCATGCCCTGTTGTGCCCCACTTCCTTTCATCTCTGTGTAGCTCTTCTTCACCACAATGTTCTTCCCGAGGTTGAGTGCATCCCCACTGTGTCCCTGCTGTGGCTCAGCCCGGGGAGCTGGTGAGGATGCTGTCCTGCCCTTCATTCCATCCCCTGGGGAGCTGCTGGCTGGGATTTTGGGGGGTGGCACTGTGGAAGAAGGGGGCATTGGTTCCTCTCCATGCTGCATGTCCCCCTCCATCACCTGAAGGGAGGAAAAGGGAGAAGCTGGAATCTCTGAGGAGAGCCTTGGGGAAATGTCTCCTCCCCCTCATCCCACCTGTGCCATGACACCTCCTCCAGCATCACCCTGCTGCAAACCCACCCGTTTCGCTGTGGGCACTTCAGGGCCAGCAACACCTGAAAAGGAGAGAGACAGAGGTCCTGCAGCACCCACCCCAAAAGGCAACACTCCCTACCCTGAAACAGGACATGCTAGCATCTGCTGTTGCCAGTCCCTGCATGTCCCATCCCTGCACCCAGCTCACCAGAGCTCTGGAGCAGCTGGAGGAGAGTGGATAGGCTGCTTATCTGCTGGGGACTCAGTTCTGGCAGCCCCAGGCCATAGCTGGCCAGGAGGGAAGCCAGTCTCTTCAGGGCAGCATCTGCAAGAGGATGTAGCATCAGGTTGGATGCTCTGCATCTGCAGGGAGACCAGGGGCCAGGGATGAAGCAGATGGAGCAGGTGGGGTTGTGGTTATCCCATGGGCATAAACCCAAAGAGAAGGGAAAGTGTGAGCCACGAGGAACTCGTGGCTGTGGGCACAGGATAGGGACAAGGGGTTGGTGCCTGGCTGGAGAACAAGGTACCCGTCTGTGCAGAGGGTGGCTGGGCAGCCAGGGGTGCTTGCTGCTCCCTCTCCTCTATGTTTCTGTAGTCACTGGGGAGCCGCAGGCTGTGCTGAAGCCTGGTGCTGGCGGGGTCCGGGCGGCCAGCTTTCTCTCTGGGCAGGGAAAGCATGCCCAAGTCCTGGAAAAGATGCCCCCCATCCACTCCTGGCTGCCCGCCATAGGAGGGCACAGGGCCAGCCCCAAAAAGGGTCTGGGCAGGGACCCGGCCCAGCAGTGAGGAGGTCTCAGAGCTCTGCCTGGCTGAGCCGCTGGGATGCTGGTGCGCACCATCCTGATAGCCGAACTGCAACCAAAACACATGTCAAACCCCACAGGTCCCCTGTCACCCCATGGTGGAGGCAGGGGGTACCCCAGCACCAGCAGAAAAGTGCTGGGAGTGCAGCAGCTCCCTGCCAATATCTACTTTTCTGCCCAGGAGAAGGCGCTCACCCCCCAGCTTACCTTGTGGTAGGAGTAGGGATTGAGCAGAGCCTCCTCGTAGCCCAGCTGGGGTGGGGAGGGCAGCAGGACGTGCTCCAGGTACCGCTGCACCAGAGGGGAAAGCAGCAGTGGTGGGGGCTGCTCCAGATGCTGAGCTGCTGGCAGGCCAGCGTCTGGGGCTAGCGGGGCTCGCCGGGGCTCGCTGCGGAGAGGCAGGAACCTCGAAGGCAAACAGCGCTGGGGTAACTCACCTGGGTAAAGGGGGAGGTCCCTGCCCTAAACCCCATTTGGGGGACAAAGCCCTCGCTGCTCCAGTGAGCTCTGCTGGCGCTGTCCTACCTGTCCCTGGCCACCGGCTCCAGCGAGGATGGCAGGCGGAGGCGGGGGATGCGCTCCATCTCCTGAGAGATCACATACTGGGTGATGCCGTCCTGCCACGAGAGCCCTGCCATGGGAGGAGGCTGTGAGACATGGAGGCAGCTTGGGAGCCGTGGTGTGAGCATGGCATGCTGTCCTGATATTCTGACCCTGTGTCCCACTCCTCCTCAGCCCACCCTGGGCCAGCAGGACCGCAGACAGCTCTAGAGCCACTAGGCAATTCTACCTGACATCCCCTCCCTGCAGGGTCACAGCGACTTCCCCCATGCTCCCCCGCTCACCTTGGGCCATGAGATGCCGCAAGACATCCTGCAATCGCTGGAGCACAGGAGATGTGACCTGAAAGTAGGGCCTGTCCTGCACGGAGCCCACCTGGCATTGCCCAAACAGCCCATCTGCAAGAGAAGGAAGAGAGCGGGACTGGATGAACAAACAGCCCGATGTGAGGATCTCCAGGCACAGCCCCTCCTTTCTCCTGCCATCCCTCCACGCACTGCACCCCAGCTTCCCCTGCAAGGCATCCCTGTACCCTTCACACACACTTGGGAAGGGAGAGGGGATCCCTGCACCCCTGCCAGCCACTTACCCTGCACACACACCTCCTGGGGGGAGCACAGCCTTCGGTCAAACAGGCAGCCTGGGACAGACAGACAGACAGGCCAGTCAGCACAGCATTCAAGGGGGACTCCAATGGAATCTGCTCATCACCAGCTGCTTGGGGGATCCCTACGCTCCAGAAAAGCGGCACAGGAATGCAATGTGGTAATGGTGGGAGGGGACACGGCTTTGTAGCCCATGGCAGAGGCTCGGTGCCAGTCTTTTCTGCCCCTCAGAGACAAGATGGGGGCTGTGTAGAAAATATGCCCTTGGCTCTGGAGAGTGGGGGAAGGCCTGGAGTTGTAAGGGTGCTGGCAGTTAGGAAGGTAAGACTGAGGCAGCAGAGACCTGCAAAACCACATCTGCTGCCCTCCTACATGTGGTACTACGAGGAAGAGATGCAACCCAGTGATACCGGAATCCACTCTCCCTGCGAGGCGGACCCCAAAGCATGGATGTAGTGGTATTGGGGGTGTGGGGTGTGTACCTCTCCAACCCCTTCGGCGGGCAGCACTCGGGCAGGGGGCGGCTTCCCCCTTCCTCTCCCCCCCCGTTTCGGTCCAAGACCGTCAGCAGCGAGACGGCAGCAGGCGATGACTCAGCCCCGGATGGCAAGGAAGGAACGAGAAAACAACCGGGGGGAGGGGAGGGAGGGGCCCGTCAAGCCCGCCGCGGGGGAAGGGGGCTAGTGGGGATGAGCGTCCTCGAAACCCCGGCACCCTCGGGTCAGCGTCCCCCGGGGCGGAGGCCCCGCAGGTGCGGGGCACAGGACCCCAGTGCCAGGGCAGACCCCAGGGACGGCGGCAGCGGGGGCCGGGCCGGGGCGGCAGGGCCGGCGCTGTCCGCGGTGCTGGAGCGGCGCAGCGCTCTCCCGCCGAGACGCCGCGCTCCGCCGGGAGGGGCGGTGGCCCCAGCGCGGGGAGGCTCCCCCGGCCAGGACGGTGCTCGGCCGCAGCCGTCCCGGCACCATTCCCTGCTTGCTCCCGGGGGCAGCGGGACCCCGCGGTGCAGCCGGATCCATCCCGGCACTCCCGGGCCGCTGGAGGACGAGGGGCGCAGCAGCCCCGGGCGCCCGGTAGTGAGTCAGCGGAGCCGGGGCCGTGCCGTGGGCTGCAGCCCCGCTATCGAAAGCGACACTCGGGTCCCCGAGAGCCCCAAGCACGGACCACACGGACCGATCTGGAGAAGAGCGGGCGCACCGGCCCGGGCGAGCCGCTCTTACAGGCGGAGGGCGGCTAAAGGGCGGCATGGTCTCGGAGAAAGCCACGCTTAGGGCCGCTGGCCCGGGCTCCCCATCCCTGCGGCAGCCCCAGGCACCGGCTTTGCCCCGGGCATGAAAGGCATCACCGTTCTGCTCCCGTCCCGTAGCTGCTGGCTCTCGGGCCCGGCGGGGCGACACCTCTACAGCCGGCGGGGTGCCCTGGGTTTAGCACACCCACCGGCCCGGGAGCCCCGGGAGAGGGGCGCCACCGGTGCCAACGGCGCACCCGCGGTGCCGGTCCCAGGCCGCCCTGTCCCGCTATCCGCCGGGGGCCGGACTCGCCGCTGCACGCCATGACAGCACCCTATAGCGGTGGCGACCGCACCGGCCGCGGAGTCCCGTGCCCCGCCACTCCCCGGGAATCTCCTTCCGGCCCTCGCCAGCCCGGGGCAAAGCCGCCCTGCCCGGGGTCGCGGTCTCACCGTGTGCGGCGGTGGCGGCGGCGACACCGTCACCCAGCTGCCCGCGGCCGGCCAGGAGGAGGAGGCAGAGGAGCGCCCGGAGGAGCCGCCGCCCCATGCTCCGCTCACGGCCGCACCATGGCGCCAATGGCGCACCCGCGCTGCCGCGGCGCCGCGCCCCTCCGCGCCGCGGCCAATCAGAAAGCCGCGCGGCTGCCCTCAGCGCCGCGCTCACGCCCCGCGCTGTCCAGCGGGGCCAATCACGCCTCGCTCCGGGGAGAGGCGGCCCAGAACCGCGCCAATCGCAGCGTCCCCGGGGGCGAGTCACGCCCCCCCGGGGGTGTGCCACAGCGCCAGCAGCGCCCCCACCAATCAGCGCACGCCCCTTCCCAGCCCTGCGGCCGCACTGGCTCCCGCGTGGGACACGCCCCTGAGAGCTGCCCAATGAGCGGCGAGCGCGGAGCCGCACCCTCGTGCCCCGCCCGGCGGCACGGCCCGGGCATCGGCCGCGGGCAGAAGGCAGCCCCCGGCCCGCGCAGGGACCCCCTTCCCGGCCCCGGAGAGCAGCTTCAGGTCTGGTGCCGGCAGATCTCTGCGCACACGGCAGGCTCGTTCCGCGGGAAACGGGCGGCCCCAGCGCTGCACGACACGGGACATCCTCCCGCCAGCTCTCCCTTAGCCGGGACCCCTCGCACCCCTCGACAAGGGATTGTGGATGGGTGAATAGGTCTCGCTCACGCTTCCAGGGGAGAGCACAGGTGGGAGCCATGGGAGTCCCCAGGGGGAGCCACGTACGTCAGCCCCAGCCACAGTCATGGACCACTCGCTGGTGAGACAGAATTGCTTTAATGGCCCCAGGACTAAACCCACTGCTACTCCCTCCCCGCCATGTTCAGTCGACCACCAGGCTGCTGCTGACCGTCGGCAGGAGCTCGAAGAAGCCCTGTAAGAAGAGAGGCTGCCAGGGTGGGCCGAGCGAGGCGCTGCGGGGTGGGGGGACAGGCAGTGGGGGCAGGCAGCAGCTCCCTGTCACAGCGTCATAGTAGGCAGCTACTTGCAGAGAGCAGGACCACGTTGCCATAGTAACCCATCGCTGACTCAAGGCTAGCACCGGTTGCCATAGGAACTACTTAGGGATGGCAGTCACTGGGGAAGGCTGGAAGAGGGGGCACCTCCGGAAGCAGCCAGTACCTGAGCTGCTCTAGAGCTGGGGAGCTCTGTGGGACGGCTGGGTTCAGCCCCAAAGCAGGGATTGGACAGGGACATGGGGATGTGGCAGATGTAGAGGAGCAGGGAGAGAGCTTTAGCACAGGAAGGGGGACACAGGGCTCACCTTGAAGAGGGTGATGCTCTGAAGCACCCCCGAGGTGCAGCACATCTCCCGGATGGAATGCATGGCCAGCTGCGGGCAGCCAATGTCCAGCACACGCAGCCCCAGGCGGGAGGCCAGAATGGGGCCGATGGTGGTGCCGCAGGGCGTGTCGTTGCGCACCATGAACTCCTGCACGGGGGCAAGACCTCAGCAGCTCCACATGCTGCCCCATGGCCTCCCACATGGGCCCTCAGCCCTGAAGGGAGGCGACCTGGGGCAGGGAAGCAGCACCGCCCCACACCAGGGTTCAAAGAGAGCTCCAGAAAGAGCTCCTGAGACACACTCAGGCCAGGCTCCATTCTGCTCACCAGCCTGCTCCCTGAGGCAGTCCTGGAGCTGGAGCCCCAGAGCAACAGGCAGCACGGACACCCCAGCGGGGTCAGACATGGTAACAGGGGTGGAGCTTAGGCACAGGCCCCCTCTGATGAAGCCAGGGGCAGGGCTGCAGCCCAAACTCCTGATGTTCAAGGAGGACTCACCCAGCCCTGCTCACCTGCAGAGGGACACCCACGCGGGCAGCAATGTCCCGGATTACAGCTTCAGTGACAGCTGTGGAGGCGTAGCGCTGGTTGCTGTTCACTTTGATGACAGGGCCCTGCACAAAGGAAGGCACAGCAGGCCCATGATGGGACCCAGGAATAGTCAATGGCCCTGGAAACACCCATGCCCAGGCAATGCTGTACCACCTCAACATATCAGTCCATTCTCCCTTTCCTGGGTGAACCCATGGGAATGGGGACAGTGTTTCCATAGGGACAGCCCCAGCTCAGAGCAGGGAGGAGTTCTATGGACAAGACTGGGATCCCAAGTGATTAACATCAGACATGTGGCATAGTCAAATCCCATTGCAGGATAAATGTTTTCCATTTGAATGCTGGGTGGCAGTGCTGCAGGACAGACAGCCAGCAACCATCCTATACCCAAGCAGAGGGCTGCCCTCACCTTGTGGAAGGCTGGGCGATGATTCTCCTCATGCTTGTCCCTGCAAAAGAGAAGTAAGAGTTTCACACTACAGCCTTCCCTCCCTGCTGCAATAAGGACTGTCCTGTCTGTACCACCTGGGGAGCGATGGGGATACGTCCCACAGGTGGCAGGGCAGGCTGTCAGGCCTGTGGCATGGCTCACACTACTCACACATAATTGGGATGCACAGCGTGGGCCATATCAGCACTGATCATGTAGGACTTGGCCACTGCCTCCTCGAAGGCTGTCAGGTTGTGTGGTGATGCAGAGATCCGGCGCAGCACCAGCTCCGTTAGCAAGGACTCTGCACCCTGGGCACTCTCTGACCCTACCTGCCAAGGACACCATCAGCACAACCCCGCAGACACAGGGGCCAGAGGAATGACAGGGTGCTCCCTAAGGCCAGCAAAGCAGCTTCCTGCCACACCAGTGCTTCCCACCCCTAACTGGGCCATGCTCCATGCGGGTGTAAGCAAATCCCTGCTTCCTACACCGGGGTGTGGGATCTCTCTCCTGCTAGGATGCTCTCTCCAATGCTAGGCATGGCTGGGGAAGAGCAGAGAACATGGAGCACCTTCTGGCGCCAGCCACCCCATGGCTGAGCCCCTGACTCACCTCCTCATTGTCATAGAGCGCGATGAGACGCACATTGGGCTCCTGGGAGAGGGACGAGGGTGCTGCACATGAGTCAATCAAGGCCTGCAGGATTAGGGGGGAATGGACACCAGCCTGAGTGCCACTCCATCCTGGCAATTTCAGGACTGAGCCATCAGGAAATCCCCCAGGAGAGTCCAAAGCATGGAGGAAGGGAGCTGTGGGCACACACATTGCCCAGCGACAGCAGGAGTCACCCCTGGGAGCTGCTGGGAATCCAACCCCAGGTCCTCCAACAATCTAGACCCATTGCATGAGAACACAACTCCCTGCAGAGTCTTTGGCCAGCCCAAAGCTGAGCTGGTGCACGGGGGCCACATTGCAGTCTCCAGGTTCTTTCCCCTCTCACCTGCAAGGCACAGTAGCAGCTATGCAGGTTGTCCAGACGTGGGGAGAAGATGAACTCATCGAAGGCACCACCCAGCGTCTGCAGAGAGCCAAGAGGAGTAGGGCACAAGCTCTGGGTCACCAGAAAGTACCTGCCACTGGGTTCCCATTCCAATACCCTTATCTCTGCCCCCAGGAGCAGCTCCCTCTAGTTCCACTCAGCTCCCAGCCTGGCACGCCCCAGGCAAAGGACATGTGCCACCTGTGTAGTGCCAGCCTGTAGGCTGTGCGCAGGGAGGGAGGTTCCTGCCCTTACTCACCGCTGGCTGTGTATCTGCCAGGCATAGTTCCAGCTCCACAATCTGCTCTGGTTTCACCCCCAGCTGGGGGCAGATCAGGGAAAGCAGAACAGGGCTGTGCCGCTCTGCCTGGGAAGAAAGCAGAGCTGTGGGCAGGGCAGTGGATGGCAGGAGAAACTCATGGTTTCCCTTTGCAAAGTTGGTTTCACCCCCAGCTGGGGGCAGATCAGGGAAAGCAGAACAGGGCTGTGCCGCTCTGCCTGGGAAGAAAGCAGAGCTGTGGGCAGGGCAGGCAGTGGATGGCAGGAGAAACTCCTGGTTTCCCTTTGCAAAGTTGTCCCTGACCCTGCTTATGTTGGCAGAGTCCTCTCTCCTACTAACATCTCCCATGTTCAAGCCCCCACCTCACCCAGGACAGCTCTATGCCTCTGTGCCAGCCCCCCTCCCTGCCCTGCCTCCTCAGGGAGATGCACCCCTTCCACACTGGCTGCAGGCAAGGGTGAGAAGAGAGAGATGGCTGAACAGATGTGCCCTGTACACAGCTGTGAGGCAGAGTAGAAGGTTACCAGCAGTCCACAGGGAGAAGGGAAACCTGGTGGCAGGTCCCTGAGGACTCAAAATCAAAGGTGACAAGTATGACGTCCTTGCAAATGTTCCTGCTGATCCTTGGCACACAGCTCACCTGGGCTGCAGCACTGCAAGGTGTGGACTCCATAAGCACCTCCTTTTCCAGCTCCTCCTGCACTGCAGTGGCCAGAATGGGAACCCTGTGGGGGTCAGCAACATTAGCTCCCAGAACTTTGCTCACCTCACCTGCTTGGGTCACACACTCCCAACCCTTCCTGGCGTGTTTGCCTTGCTCCTTCAGGGAATGACTGATATGCCAAATGGAGGAAGAATGTATATTTTAAGCACATATCTACTGTGCCACCTCAGAACACCCCAGTGTCCTTTCCCAAATCCTATGCTTGGAAGCATCTCCTGGAAGGACTCTATGGGGCTAAAAGCTGCTGCAGATCTCCCCACTGCAATGAGTGGCTGCCAAAGGGAGAGCTAAGGCAAGGTTTTGCTCTAGCTGGGTCTCAGCCCTCCCAAGGGCTGCCCAGGAGTTGGGGCTGAGCCAGGCCTTACAGGTGGTGCTCAGTGTTGGGCCCAAAGTTCTCATTGATGCTGCGCTGCAGGTGGATGGCCAGGTGAGGAATGCGGAGGACGGGCCGCTCCACACGTACCAGGCGCTGCTCCAGGCGCCCTGTGGCTTGGTCCTGAAACACAAGGATGACTTCTGGCACCAGGCCTGCAAAGCTGAGAGGCTGCAGCAGGTCCCACTCTGGGTGGGGGTCAGCAACCCAGTGCCAGAGACACACAGCTATGTGACCATGCATGCCCTAAATCAGACTCACCTTTATGATCACCCTCCCGGCCACGGTGAGGTCACGGTCGAACCAGGTGTTCCAGATGCCCCCTCCATAGGTCTCCACACCGACTTGCACTACGCCCACCTGGCCCCGCTTAGAGCGACGCTTCACCTGGGCAACAGCAGAGCTGTCACTGCTGGCACCATGAAGCGCTGGGGAACGGACAGCTGGTGGGAACTGGGCAGCTCATGCCCAGAGCCTCATTGCTGATGCTGCCAGCTCTGGGTGCTGTGAGGGGCTTTGCAGGACTGGGGACACAGAGGAGACAGCAGCAGGCAGAGCAATGCAGGGGCTGCTCTGGGTGACAGATCTGGGAGGTGTAGCGAGCCAACAATGATGCTGCAGGGCACAGGGGTAGTCAGGATAGTTTTTGCTTGTGGCATGAAACTGGAGGACCCCAGAGAAAGACTCAGCACCCAGCCGGGCGACCTTACCCTGAGGCAGGGGCTGTCGGTGTGCGCTCCTAGCAGGCTGAACCCATTTCCGGGCTGGAACTGGCCGCCGACTGCGAAGGCGATGAGGGTGGAGTAGTTCCTGGTGATGAAGTACTGGAAGCAGAGGGGCAGAGGTGAGGTGCCGTCCACCCCCGGCTCCCGCTGCCCCGTCCCAGCCGGGCCCACCTTCTGCGCCGGCCGCACGTCCCAGTGCTCCGTCTCCTTCAGCTCCTGGAAGCCAGCCTGCAGTAGCCGGCTGCGGCATTCGGCCACCACTGTGGGGGGAAGAGCCGTCAGGGCCGCCCGCGTGGAAGGGGAAGAGGGCCGGGAGGGCAGCGGGCGGGCGCTTACCGTGGTACGGCGAGGGACTGCGGTTCACGAACTTCACCAGTTCCTGCGCCGCCGCCTTCGAGCCCTGCGCCGCCGCCTGCGGACACCGCCGTCACCGCACAGAGCCGGCAAAAGCCCGCCCCGGGCCGGGACCCCCGCGGGACCGGGGACCCCGTCCCGGGAGGCACCGACCCGACCCCGTCCCGCGCCCTCCACCCGCCCGGTACCTGCATGGCCGCCACCGCCCCGCGCCGGCCCGCCCAGCGCCCCCTGCTGGCGTGGAGGAATGGGCGGCCTGCGCCCCGGACTCCGACCTCTGCACCCTGCACCCCGCAATCCGCACCCCGCAATCCACACCCCGCAATCCACAGCCTGCACACCGCAATCTGCACCCAACCTTGCGCCCCGCAAACCACACCCTGCACCCCGCAATCCACACCCCGCAATTAAGCACCTCCTTTTCCAGCTCCTCCTGCACTGCAGTGGCCAGAATGGGAACCCTGTGGGGGTCAGCAACATTAGCTCCCAGAACTTTGCTCACCTCACCTGCTTGGGTCACACACTCCCAACCCTTCCTGGCGTGTCTGCCTTGCTCCTTCAGGGAATGACTGATATGCCAAATGGAGGAAGAATGTATATTTTAAGCACATATCTACTGTGCCACCTCAGAACACCCCAGTGTCCTTTCCCAAATCCTATGCTTGGAAGCATCTCCTGGAAGGACTCTATGGGGCTAAAAGCTGCTGCAGATCTCCCCACTGCAATGAGTGGCTGCCAAAGGGAGAGCTAAGGCAAGGTTTTGCTCTAGCTGGGTCTCAGCCCTCCCAAGGGCTGCCCAGGAGTTGGGGCTGAGCCAGGCCTTACAGGTGGTGCTCAGTGTTGGGCCCAAAGTTCTCATTGATGCTGCGCTGCAGGTGGATGGCCAGGTGAGGAATGCGGAGGACGGGCCGCTCCACACGTACCAGGCGCTGCTCCAGGCGCCCTGTGGCTTGGTCCTGAAACACAAGGATGACTTCTGGCACCAGGCCTGCAAAGCTGAGAGGCTGCAGCAGGTCCCACTCTGGGTGGGGGTCAGCAACCCAGTGCCAGAGACACACAGCTATGTGACCATGCATGCCCTAAATCAGACTCACCTTTATGATCACCCTCCCGGCCACGGTGAGGTCACGGTCGAACCAGGTGTTCCAGATGCCCCCTCCATAGGTCTCCACACCGACTTGCACTACGCCCACCTGGCCCCGCTTAGAGCGACGCTTCACCTGGGCAACAGCAGAGCTGTCACTGCTGGCACCATGAAGCGCTGGTGGGAACTGGGCAGCTCATGCCCAGAGCCTCATTGCTGATGCTGCCAGCTCTGGGTGCTGTGAGGGGCTTTGCAGGACTGGGGACACAGAGGAGACAGCAGCAGGCAGAGCAATGCAGGGGCTGCTCTGGGTGACAGATCTGGGAGGTGTAGCGAGCCAACAATGATGCTGCAGGGCACAGGGGTAGTCAGGATAGTTTTTGCTTGTGGCATGAAACTGGAGGACCCCAGAGAAAGACTCAGCACCCAGCCGGGCGACCTTACCCTGAGGCAGGGGCTGTCGGTGTGCGCTCCTAGCAGGCTGAACCCATTTCCGGGCTGGAACTGGCCGCCGACTGCGAAGGCGATGAGGGTGGAGTAGTTCCTGGTGATGAAGTACTGGAAGCAGAGGGGCAGAGGTGAGGTGCCGTCCACCCCCGGCTCCCGCTGCCCCGTCCCAGCCGGGCCCACCTTCTGCGCCGGCCGCACGTCCCAGTGCTCCGTCTCCTTCAGCTCCTGGAAGCCAGCCTGCAGTAGCCGGCTGCGGCATTCGGCCACCACTGTGGGGGGAAGAGCCGTCAGGGCCGCCCGCGTGGAAGGGGAAGAGGGCCGGGAGGGCAGCGGGCGGGCGCTTACCGTGGTACGGCGAGGGACTGCGGTTCACGAACTTCACCAGTTCCTGCGCCGCCGCCTTCGAGCCCTGCGCCGCCGCCTGCGGACACCGCCGTCACCGCACAGAGCCGGCAAAAGCCCGCCCCGGGCCGGGACCCCCGCGGGACCGGGGACCCCGTCCCGGGAGGCACCGACCCGACCCCGTCCCGCGCCCTCCACCCGCCCGGTACCTGCATGGCCGCCACCGCCCAGCGCCGGCCCGCCCAGCGCCCCCTGCTGGCGTGGAGGAATGGGCGGCCTGCGCCCCGGACTCCGACCTCTGCACCCTGCACCCCGCAATCCGCACCCCGCAATCCACACCCCGCAATCCACAGCCTGCACACCGCAATCTGCACCCAACCTTGCGCCCCGCAAACCACACCCTGCACCCCGCAATCCACACCCCGCAATCCACAGCCTGCACACCGCAATCTGCACCTCGCATCCCGCAATCTACACCCCGCAGTCCGCAATCCATACCCTACACCGCGCAATCCACACTCTGCACCCTGCAATCTGCACCCCGCAATCCACACCTGCACCCCGCAATCCACACCCCGCAACCCACACTCTGCACCCCGCAATCTGCACCCCGCAATCCGCACCCTGCAATCGACAACGTGCACCCTGCACCCCATAACCTGCGACCCCCCGATCCACACCCTGCAGCTCCCACACTGTACCCCCTGCCATGCACATCACACTCTCGCCCCGCACCCCACACTGTGCAACCCACACCGTGCATCCCGCACCCTGCACCCTGGTCCCGGCCAGGCAAACACAGCGCCTGACAAGGCTAGGGTAGAGCTGAATTAAGGGTGGGTGGAAGAGGGACACAGCAAGGGGCAGGGACAGGCTCCACAGTGATGGTCACCCATCCTACCCTGGTGTCCCCCAGTTCTGGGGCTAACTGGGGAGCAGGGGCTGCCCCAGAATGGGGCTTGGCCTGCCTGCAGAGGGGTGCAGGTGCACAGGAAAACACACTCAAGGCTACGTATATTTGGAGTGGGGTGGGTCACAGCAAGGTGCAGCCCCCCATCGTTGTTGCTCCCCTGCCTTGGCACTGCCCAGCCCTCACAGGAAACAAGGCACAAACTCTTGGTGCCATGTTGGAGACAAATGTCTCTGTGTGACAGCAATGCACTGGGTTCTGAGCGTTGGCATGGTGGCAGGGCAGCACCCAAGCTGCCTGTCAGCCCCAGGGGCGCTCCCAAGGGATAGGACCCCTTGGCCTTGCATGGATTAGGGTGCCTCCCGCCCTTGTCTGCGTTCCCTTCATGGGCTGGATGCAGCCAGCAAGGTTTTGGGTTTCAATCAGTCTTTGTGCATCATTTCCCAGCAGGATCCTTTCTTCCTAGCAATGGGTATGTGGCCCTGGGAGATGGACGTGGCAGCCTGTGAGTGCTGCATGGGGCCCAGGTGTTGGGTGCCAGCTGGATTCCCAGCTCCTGAGTCACCCGTGTGAGCACCCTGTTAGCTGGAGACTCTGTCCATGTTCTGAGGACTGGAAACTGGTGGTCCTGTTGCCCCTGACCCTGTGACCTGTCATGCTGAGACTCCTGACAGCTCTGGATTTATGCTCCCAGCCCCCAACACCTGCCTCTCCCCACTACCAAATGGGAACGAGCACTCCCACTGCCTGGCACCCTGCAAGCAGACAGCTGGAGGGTCTCCATGTCAACCACAGCACAACACAGGGCCAGCCCCGCAGGCCAGGTGGAAACCAGGCTGGGACCAGGCTGGGAGCACCCAGCACTCCAGCCCAGAGCTGGGATACACGCGTCAAAGGGATTTGTATGCCAGCCCGCCGTCCCCACGCTCCTCCTGCCAGCATCACCCCCCTCTGCTGCTGGAACCCAGCTCAGGGCCAGGTGCTCTTGAGTGGTTGCCAGTCTGTGCCTGAGGGATATCTGAGGACATTCAGAGGCCCTGGCTCCCCAGCTGGTGGATGCCCAGAGCGGACGGGTACCCAGCGGGTGCTCAGGGCGGATGGCTCCTGAGCTGTGTGTGTGCAGGGGCAGGGCGTGCCCTGCTCGGGGTGTCAGAGCAGGAGTGAGTGGCAGGGCCGGGTGTGGCCTTCGTGTGGCCCTGCCGCTGTGAGGCTGTGAGCAAAGGGCAGTGCCCTGGCATGCCACAGCTATTCCCGGCACAGCGGGACTTCCAGAAAAAGCTCCTGATGGCTATATCCGGGTGGGCTCTGACTCACCCCTGGCTGGGTGCCAAGGGCTGCACAGCACCTGCTGTGGTTGCCCCCTACCCCATCACCGTGCTCCTGGGAAGACAGTGCTTCTGTCCCCCATCCCGTGCTGCCCCACGGATCACCGAGTGCAGCGGGGAGCCACAGGCAGCCCTTCCAAAACGGCATCAGCTCCTCCTCTGCACATATGCACCCTGCTGCTGGGCTCACGTGTGCGCCCAGGGGTGCCTGGCAGGGAAGGGCCAGTAGGGACAGGGCACCGTGGTCCTTCTATGTCCCCTGTGAGCCCAGGTGGGCTTCTGGGCAGGCTTTGTAAGAGAAGTGTTCCCTGCTGGCAGCAGGCTCTGGGAATGGGCAGGCAGTGCTTAGCCCTCGCTGCTGGAAGGGGTTAATGGAAAGATGGCCCAGGACAAAGACTGTAAACACAACAGAGATCCAGGAAGTGCCACCCCCTTCTCCCACTGCCTGCCAGGCTGCCTGGACCCCCCCTTGCCAGCCCTGCCAGGATGAGCAAAGGGATGGCATCCATCGAGGCAGTCCCCCGCATCCCGGCCCACGTGTCTGAGCATGGGAAAGTGAAATCAGCGCCCAGGAATTGCTAGAGGCTGAGTGAACGGCCGCCATGCCTTACGTGAGCCACCAGCGATGCAGCGGGTAACGCTGCCTCATCTCTCTGGCATGGGTGATGCTATCGAGGCCTGCAGCATTCCCATGGACCACTCAGCCTCTGTCATCCCCATGGCCACGTGGATCACAAGGGCAGCTGGGCAACTTTAGTATCTCTATGCCACTGGGCAGGTGAATGTTCCCTTGGACTATGAGGGCAGGGCACCCTTTAGCCTGCCCCTAGGCAGCAGGGATGGGGGAACATCCCCAACATCCCCATGGACCTCAGGGCCAGCTGTAGGTCAGTGATGGGGCAGGTGTATGCATCAAGCGACTGCAGGGACATGGAAGTTGCTGGTCTCCCCCATCATCTACAGCTCACCCCCAGAATGCTCATGAAACATGGAGGCAACAACTTGCCCAGAGGACATACAAAGACCAAGGGAAGAGAGCAAACACGTCCCTGCATCTATACAGGTTGCATCTGGACACCCCTGGCATCCATGCTTGCTGTGGGGGCATCCAGGCACCCTCAGCATTCTGTGCCACTCACAGACAGGACAGTGTCCTCAGCATCCCCATCACCTGGGGACGTGGGGGTGGGGACCAGGAGCAAACAGACAGTCTGTGCACCCTTTGTCCTCTGGAAAGGGCAAAGGCATAGGGGCAGCTGGGATGAACAGCAGGCGTGGGGGGACTGGAGACTTTACCCACCAGCTCCTGGGACCCCAGCAGGCCAGGCTGGGCCTTGGTCCAGGCAGGGAGGGAGAGCCACCTCCTATTTAGACAATCGCATGCACCATGGATCCGTCAGCACTGGGGAATGGGCCACACAGTCCTTCCCTCTTAGGGTAAGGGCGCCTGGGAGGCTCATGGCTGTAAAAGGAGCGGGATGAAGGAAGACAGCCAGGGGTCAGGAGGGAGGGGAATGGACACCCCCGCTGCTTCATTCCCATTCCCATTCCTCGACTCACCCTTGAGCTAAGGCCAGGCATAAGGGGGCATTGGGTCCTGGTGGTAGGGCATAGGGACAAGGAAGGGCCAGCAGCCTGTCCCCATATCCTGTCTAGCTTCAAGCCCCAAGACGCCCACAGCCCAAGGAGGCTGTGCTGGGTTTAAATCCTGGGGGAATGGCAGGGAGGGAGGGCCAGGAAGGAGGGGCGGCAGCAGGATGCAGCTGGCTTTGCTCACAGGGATGTCATGACCAGAGGGAGTTGTTTGACATTCCAGCTCCAAACGCCTTCCCGGCAGCAGTCTCGTCCAAGATTTGATGGAAACTGGGACCAGGCCAGTGCGGGGGTTCAGGAGCCGCTTCCCAGGCTCCGCCGGTCTGGGTCAGCCCGGCCTGGGATGGAGCTGTGGGGAGGCTGCACTGGGCTGGACAGGACAGGACAGGAGGCAGCCCTGCACTTCTGGCCTCCGCAGCCTCCTCACTTTCTGCAGCCTCTGGGTCTTTAGTTGGCACAGAGTGTTTGCATCTTGTCTGTGGGACTCAGGCAGGGTCTCTGCGTCCTGCTGTTCATCCCTCCTTCCTGGCATGCTGGGTTCCTCAAACAGACGGGGATTTCCTAAGAGGCTTGTCCACCCCCTGCAAGACGTGGGGCCCCTGCTTGCCCAGAGGCATACCGGAAGGCTGTCACCACAGCTAAGGAAAGGCCACTTCAAAAGTCTGCCCTAGAGCAGGGTCAGGAGGATGCTCCTAGTTAACCCCTCTGAGCTGCTTCCCCTCCAAGCAGCACTGCCCAAGAGTGCATTTCCCCTCCCTGGAGCACCCCAACCCTGCCCCCACTTGCTCTGTGGGATGAGGATGGGAAAAAGGGCTACTCAGGCCTGAGATGGGTTTTGCATCAACCTACCTGAAACCTACCAGGACAGGGTGCCAGGCACTTCTGGGCACAGTATCCCTGAGGAATCCATCCTCCCCACAGTCACAGCTGGCCCAGCAGTGGGGTGGGGTCATGGAAGGGGATGGCTGAACTCTGTTTCTGGTGGTGTGCTGTCCCAGATGCCCTGAGTCCCCCTGACAGGACACCCACCTGCCCCTCTGCACACCAGCTAAGGCCCGGCTTGCCGGCACTTGCGGCACGGGCAGGGCACACGTGCGGGCTCTGGGATGTGCAGGGCATACTCGGAATGGGGCCAGAAGGAGGAAGGATGCTGTCTGTTTTTCCATCTACTCTCCCCCCACAAGCCCCCCCTTTCTTCCATTCTCTCCCTGAGCTGGGATGAAACAACCTCATCTGGAAATACCTTCCCTTTTAAAGGCAGGCTCCTCCAGGCAGCTTGTACTCTCTGGGAAGACGCTACATCACTCTGCAATTGGGTGGCTGGGAGAGGCTCCAGGGATGGGGGCTTGGAGGAGCAGAATGGATGCAGGGCACCAAGCATCTGCCCACCTGCGTGTCTGTGGCA